CATAGGAAACAAAATATCACATCTGGTTTTCAAGTAGTGAATCTGACATCCAGAAGCCCCCTGCCAGAGGTTTGCCTGGATGTCTTTGAGCCTGCAGTGTTAGGAATGGGGTGGGAGGGGTGATGGGGTCTCCTGGGAAAAGACGCTGCGAACCCCTTCAATCAGAACAGCCAGGCTTTATCTGTTGTCTTCATGGACTTCTGAGAAAGAGTTCCCTTAGCCATATGTTGAAGGTACTCATTTTAAAATTGTGTGTCTATTTTAAACAAAGACCAGGAGGTGGGATTCAGTGCAGTTAAGTGATTTGGCTCCGATCACATATTTTGGCAATGGCAGAATCAAGACTGAAATCCAAGTTTGCTCTCTCCACAGTGCTCTGAGACTCTGATGTTTGTGTGAGCTGGAGAGATATCCTAATGATTCAATTAAGTTCTTTTCATTTCCATGTCCTGGCTCTGAGACATATATTAGACTGAGTTAATTAAAGAATCAGAGGGAGGTTTCCGCATCAAGAGAGAAGCGTTACCTTGTGTGCTTGCTGCTATTTCATGTGGCCCTCTGGCTCCCAGCCTTCCTGATATTAATGGTCATCAATCCATAGAGATTCTTCTTTCCCCTTCATTTTATGGTCCTCTAACTAATTTGGTTCATAATTTTAATTACACAATTAAAATATGTTTATTCTACCATCGACTATACCCTTTCCTCCATTATAAATACCTAATACTGACCCTGTAATATTGGGCTTAGTTAAGATTTCTCTTCTGTTTTCATTACTTTCTTTCTTTTCTCTCAGTAAATGACACCAGCATATTTGATGTTTGGTCAGAGGGACAAGGAGACTTGTCAGAGAGGTCAGTCAGGAAGTAAATCTTGTCAATGAGGTCCTTGTGACTTGGAAGAGAGAAAGGAGTGTTCATTTGATTAGTGAATGGAAACAGTGACAAGGACAGCACCTGAAAGGGAGGTTCTGGTGGCTGTGGTTGAGAGGCACCAGAGGAGGGTTGTAACTAGGGACATGACAAGAAGAGGCCAAATCTGCACCCCTTTCTGGATATTCTGTAGAAAGTGTAAAGATAGGAGAGAGGCAAGAGCTCTTCATGACATGGTTGGCTTCTGAGATTTGGAGCTGGTTAGCATAGCGTAGAAAAGCAACAGAATAGTCGAGTTTTTGAAATTGATTCTTAAAGTCTTTTTGCCCTACAGTTTTCCCCAGTGAGGAAACTGAGGCAAAGAGAAGTCAAAGCATGGTCCTTGCCTCAAGAGTTGGTGGTGCTAAGGATGCCAGTTCTATACTTTCCATCCATACGTATTCAGTTGCATGAGAGAAAAGAACCTAGGACAAGAGACTAGGTTTTATTTTAAATGCAGTTGGATGTCATGGGAGGGAAATGCTATGATACACTTTTAAGCAGATCGCTCTTTCTGCTATATGGAGAATAAATTGGAATAGGGCAAGAGTGGAAACCAAGAAAGAACTTCGGAGGCTATTTCAGCATTCCAGGAAAGAAATGATTGTGCCTGGGAGAAGGAAGATGAATAGCAAATGTATTTTGAAATTAAAATGTAGAAAATTTGATGGATTGGATGTGGTAGCTAAAAAATCAGAAAGAATCAAGGTTTTATGGCTTGAGCAACTAAATGGATGTGGGTACAATTTCTGAGGTGGGATGTGGGGAGAGATTGAATACATGATTGAAGGTTAGGAGGATTTGGATGGGGGGAGTATGGAGAGAAAATTTTGAGTAGAAAATGCAGACTTGCTCTTCCATACCTTCCCCTTCTATTCACTCCTGAAACTGTCTGTCCCAATCATACACTGTGGCCTATTTCTCCAAGTCCTGTTATATATCATCGAGCAGTTCTTTACCACCGGGATATTTAAAATATAGGATATAATGATAAAGCCTCATCAGTCATCTGCTTTAGGAAAGACAAGCTAAAAAAAATGAGGAGGGAAATGCTGTTTCCACTTCTGTTTACCTTTTATTCACGTCGAAATGGAATTAGAAATACTTAGCATGCCTGGAATGTAATTTAGGAGATCCTTAAGTTGCCTCTACAAGGAGAAAGGTAAAAGGATGTTTTCATAATATGCCCAAGGAGATGTGGGAAGCAGGACATTCCTGTCCAGCATGCTGTTGCCATAATTACTCATTCCACAGATACTTTTTGAAATCCTACATACCAGGCCCTGTTAAAAGTGTTTGGAATATAGCAGGCAAGAAGAAAAAGTCTTTGCATTTATGGAAGTCACATTCGGAACACATCTTATGTCCTTGTCCTTCACAAACTTCAATAGTTTGTTCCTATTTCAGCAGCATAAAATCTAACCCCCTGCTTAAATCAGACAGAGTCACTACTTGTTCCCCAAGTCAAGCGCATTCTCAGCTCTTTGTGTTTGCTTGTGCTGTTCCTCTCTCCTTGCTTTTTGGTTCATTTTAAGTCAGCCAGTCCAATCCACTCAGAACTGATAATCAGGACTGTAGGTGTGTGCCGACCAGCATCCAGCTCTAATTGGTTGATGCCCATGTTGAACTTATTATCAAAATTTCACTATTACCTCTGCATGCACCTTTCAGGTCTAGCTCAATCTCTCTTGACCCTCTCCTAGGTCACTATCTCAGTCTTTCACTAATCTCATCTTCATTTGAACTCATGGCATACCATGAGTTGATACCACTTATTTCAGACTTTCTTATGACATCTTGTGTATAATTATTTGTATTAAAAATCTGACATGCTTTTTGGCTTTGTTTCAAAATAAGGTGGCATTGTACAACTCAAACACCAGATATGCATGGATTAATTGATCAGTGAATCAGGAGGGAAGCAGTATGTCATAACCATCCACTGCGGACTTAACTGGAGAGAGACCCCATTTGCTGACACTCCCTGTTAGTGTGCTCATCTCTAAGCGATTTGTCCTTCAGGGCCTTCTTCAGTCCCTTGCTCCTGTCACAAGTTATCCTTCTATCACCTTGAGCTTTCGAGGGCATTCCCATGCCAGCACCCCTTAGGATGCCTACCTAGTTTTCTGCATTAAAAGGACAGTGGGATGTCTTGTTTGCCAGCCAACTTAATGTGGGCTGACATTCCTGGCTCACTGAATTAAGGTGGAGAGCCAACTGCCCCAGAGAAGAGTCTATTTCTATGGAGATTAAAACAAGAAAATGATGGGCATAAAACACCTTTATCTTCTTATATTTAAATGGAAAGATGACAGTAATTAGGCTAGACCAGGTAAGTTCTGATTGTTAACTGCTAAGAAGGTGTAGTACGTTCATTTATCCCAATTTATTTGTAAAACTCGCCATATGAGGTATATGCTCTGTGCTCTTGCCTGTGCTCTAATGCTGACAATTTGAGAATTAATCATTTTTGGATGTTCCAGATTTTTTATTTAAAAAATGTAAATACTCCTCCTCCTTCCCATCCCAGGTAGAAGCTGAGGGAAGTATTGTAGTCTTTTGTCTAAGAAAATGTGGTCCAGAGTCATGACTTCCATAGGGCAACCCAGGCTCACAGATTTACTCAAATACCCACCTTCCTCAATTATTTAAAAAAATCTTGAATACTTCACTTACAGTTTCTTTTTTTCAGTCAACTAACTGAACAGTTCTACTTACCTTTAGACCAAGACTCTCCATAGGACTCCATAAAATGTTTAGTATTGCTTTTTTCTCATTGTAAAGCCATGTAAGCGCTGGTATAACGGACTCTCTGGCTGTAGGGGCAAATTTGATGCATTTTGGATAATGCTCTGGAAGTTACAAAAATATGAAATATAGCAGGAAGGACACAGTTCAGTTAACCCATGAATCAGCACTTTACTGAGCACCCCCAGAATGCAGTGTACTGAGCTGGGAGCAGTGAAGGTTGAGTGCTCAAAATAGGGGTTAATCCTCCAAGAAACATTTAAAAATTTGGAAAAACTTGAAAATTGAAGATATGTAGGCCTCACTGTAGACTTTTTGAACCCTCTCCCCCAGGTTGATTCTGATTATCTTCCCGGATTGAGGAACTCTGGTATAAAGTATAGATTTATTTTCTAGGTACTTGGAGTCTAATTGGGAATTCATTTTTTTTTATTTTTAAAGATTTATTTATTTATACAAGCACTGGGTACAGTCAGAAGCGCGGGTGGGTGAGAGAATTCACCAGAGTGGGGAACAGAACAGGCAGACTGACAAAGTACACTGCTGAGGGGAGCAGCGGGCGCCACGTGGGACCCTCGCCCGGTGGCTGGGGATTGAACCGGCACTGCAGAGGCTGCGGGCAGCTTCGTAGCCCAGCACTCAACCGCTGCGCCACTGGGGAGGCCCTATTTGGGAATTTAGTACTTCTTTTTATGTCACTCTGTCTTTTTAGCTCCCCACACAGATAGCCTGTAAACTACCAGTGAAAAGTATGAGCAATGAGTATTATGTTAAAGGAGCAACAGACCATAGAGGCTGGGTGATCTTGAAGGAAGTAGGATATGAACCCAGGCTGTAAAGATGGGCAGGATATAAATATAGCTGTGAGAACAGGGACTGTGGAAGACTAGTAGAAACCTAATCTCAAAGGCAAAAGTGGAAGATATGTGTAAGTTATTAATAGGGTATTTAGGGGAAAGTAGTGGGAAATCAGATAAGCCTACATAGATACCTGGACCCAAAGATCTGGATTTTTGCACATGGCACTGCTTATATTTCAAAGTTATTTTACTTCTTGAAGCTCCCCTTTCCACATCTGACAAAGTGGGATAATAGTTCTTATCAGGTTGCGTGGAACCAGTATGGTGATTTGCATACAAGCACTCAATAGGACAGAGCTCGGTCCAGTGCTGGCTAATATTGTTATTTTCTTTTAGAGGGTAAAGCTTTGAAGGTTTCAGAGGAGAGGAATGATGTATAAAAAATGTTAATCACTCATCCTATTTCTTAGTGAGTGAATGAAAGAAATAGCTAAAAATAGATATTCACCTCCATTGAAATACTTAATGTAACTGTGTTTAGGGACTTGGAGCCCAACCTTCAGCAAAGAAGATCACCCTGACTATCCATCATGGCTGCTTCAGAAGCTGTGTCTAAAAAATCAGAATGTGAGTATCTGCAGTTACCTAACAACTCTATGCTCAATGCACAATATTTCCACTGCTTTTCTATTGATTTATAACCCTTGGAGCACTATTTATTGGCACACCTTGTAAGATTCATATCATTCCTTTTACTTAATATAACCTAATTTTGAAAGACCTATAGCAAATTTTATTTACTGTGGTATCCAAATCTACTAGTCCTTGAAATGTGGTTAGTGAAATTAAGGAATTAAATATTTAGTTTCAATTTCAACATAAAGACAAGTTAATGGAAAACTTTTAAGCATGGTTAGATCTATTTGGGTATGTAAGTCTAATTGTTCAGGCAAACTATTTTATAAATTCTAAATGCAGATTGAGTGTCTGAGAAATATTTAGCATCTGAATGAGATGTATATACTTGTAAAATGCATGAAGGATTTCGAAGACAAAACAAAAAAGTGTAAAATATCTTAATCTTTTATATAGATTAATGTTTATATATTTTGTTTTATAAGAAAATATTCTATAATTATTATATGTCATGAAGATTTCATCACTTCACTTTTTAAAATGTGACTACTAGAACAATTTTTTTTAAAGATTATTTATTTATACAAGCACTGGGTACAGTCAGAAGCGCTTGAGGGTGAGAGAACTCACCAGAGCAGGGGCAGAACAGGCAGACCGATGAAGTACTCTGCTGAGGGAAGCAGTGGGCTCAGCAGGAGAGGTCTGCGGGCCATGTGGGACCCTCGCCCGGCAGCCGGGGATAGAACCGGCGCTGCAGAGGCTGTAGGCAGCTTCACAGCCCAGCGCTCAACTGCTGCACCACCAGGGGAGGCCCTACTAGAACATTTTTAATTACATATATGGCTCACATATTTCTTTTATGTGTTGAAATATAGTTGGAAAAACTGCAAATAATCTTAAATTTAGGCGTAGGCAGCATGATTGAACCATACAATGCTGTGTGTAGAGCTGGGGTTGTCCACCAGGAGGTCTTTTTCTGCTACCTTCTCTTGGTTCTTATGACTCTGGGCAGTAAATGAGACATGCCAGCTGACTTCTGTTCAGGGCAATGAGGAGCACTGTGCAGATCACTTGAATTCTCTTTTTATTTGGATAATATAGAACGTTTTTCAAGATGGAAGGGGCAGAAAGGGAGGATGATCCAGGAAGTGGAGGCGGAATATTCTCTAGTTTCATTTTGCCTTTGGGTCACGCTCATAATTACCTAAATTATATTTGAAGTCTTGATATGAGTGTGGCATTCCCCTGCATCTCCTTAGCAATTTAACCACTGTCTGATGATACTTACATGGAGATTTTTTTTTTGAGGGTTATATTATAAAATCTCTGAGGTATGTAGGAAAGCTGTTTATTTACTGTGGGAGAGGATAAGACACTATGCTAAAGAAGACCAAAGATTAAAGAAAAAGGCAAGTGAGAAACAGTGTCTGTAAGAGACAATTCAACAGAATGCCTTTAACTTGAAAGTGAAGAATTGGGTCTTAATACAGAATAAATATTTGAAGGGACACTCATATATGAGTAAGCTGGCAGTAGGGGGTTTTGGTGATTTCTGTTGGCCTCTGTCATAGTAGGGAGTATCTTATTGCATGACATGGCATTTATTTAGATTTTTTCTGGCGTAAGTCTTTTTGCACCTGGAAGACAGGCATTCAAGGGTCATATTTATTTTAGCACTTTAGCAGAGAAAGAGTATCTGGGACTTAGTAGGTGCTTAATGAACATATGATGAATTGAAATCCCATTGAGCATGAGGTAGGGCTTTTCTAACACCTGGGCGAGTACACACAGGACAGGATGGAGGTGGCCATGTGTACACACATCTTTGCTTAGGATACTGTTTTAGGAAATTTTTGTGAAGTCTCTGAAGATGCAGCTTGTTTGTAGGAAGAATAGAAATCTTGTGAGTAAAGCCAGTTATTTTTGTTATGATTATAACAAACACATGTTTGTTAGTCCCTGGTCTTTTTTTGGATACAGAAAAGACTTGCTCAATGATTATAAAGATGAAATTGCCATTGGCTCTTTCCTTGTCATAGTTTCCATGACTAGATCTTTGGTGTTTTCATTTCAGAAGTTTACTAGAACAATTATACAGAATCTCTAAAGCATTAAGAAAAAACCATAGTTGTATGAACTATCAATCATAATAGCATTAAACTGATGACATATGAAGAGTAAATTTTTTCTTATATAAAATAAATTATTAATGCTTTTTTGATTTTATAAGCTGAAAAAATCAGAATTGATAGTAGGAAAACTTAAAAGTAAATATAACTCAAAGTCAGAGTTTTGAGTTCTAAACTCATAAAAATAATAAAGCCCTAAATTATGAAATATTGTTAGTATTTTACATTTTTCTTAATTTGAGGTCTGAAGAGTAATTAAAAAAATATTAAATGTAGGAGAATATTTTACATTAGTGAAATCGTTAACATTAGAGAAACATTTTCTTCCCCCATGGAAATATTAATGGTGCACTCATGTTTTAGATTATTTAAATATGATTACTTCAATCTCCTTCATGAACTTTATCATAAAATATTTGTTATTGTTCATAATGATTTTTATTTCTTTTTGGGGATTTAGTTAACTCGAAGAATCCATAGTATGAAATGATTTTTATTATTTGCAAACCTTTTTAATTAATTAGTTTTGGGTGAAAAGAACTATTTTAAGATCAGATTCATTCAATGTAATTTAGAACATTGAAATTTATTTTTGTGCAGTTGAAGAAATGAGGATTGACGAGTGCAATTAATTATATAAACAGTTTGGGAAAAGTTTAGCCCAATGATAGTAATATAATAGCAACGGTTATAATAATTGCTCACATTTACTGAAAGCTTATGTGTGCCAGGCTCTGTGCTAAGTGCTTCAAATGAAAGTCCAAGTTCTCCCTCTCACTCTGCAGGATATATCATTATCCTCATTCTACAAATGAGAAAACGAAGGTTGAAGACAATAAAATAAGGTTCATGAACAAATCGAAATTCAAGATCAAAATAGTGCAACTCAGGAATGAGTGCTCTTAAAAATCATCCTATATGCTACTTGCAAATAAACAAAGCCTTAATTATAGCCTTAATTATTTTTTTTAGAAGGAACAGTTTTGACAACTTCCTTTTACTAATTGAAGTTATAGTGTGCACTCGAATGTATACAAGCTGCAAGCATTTACAGTTCCTCCATTGGGAACAGAGCCATAGAAGTCTCAAAGATTACTGACTGGATGAATTCTTTTTTAATTTTTACATTCCCCAGACAATTGCACCCCCCCCTTATTTTGACTCCAATCCCTCCTTTTCCTGCCCCCCCATAGTGTGTCTCTGGTTTATAGTTGTTTGTTGATTTTGATTTTTTCTTTCTTATAGTTATTCTTTTTCCTGGTCCCTTATTTAGGTTTTCTAGATTCCTGCTATGAGTGAGACCATACTGGATGAATTCTTAAGGTCAAAATCATTTAGTTTCTTATAATTTTAGATTGATTGGTTGAATTCATATATATATATATATATATATATATATGTATATCTGGAAATTACAAAATTAGAGAACAGACTCCAGTTTTGCCTTTTCTAAGGCATTGAGATATGAGTTATCTTGTGCTACCTTGAGAATTTAACTCTTTGGTTCAAAGGCAAATTTTTTAGTTATGGGAGAAAATCAAAATAGTAGCCTCAGCTTTTTAAATGACATAGAAGTCTCTGGATGGATGACTTGAAGTCAATGTTGTGACAGGCCTTCAGCGGAGCCATTTCAGGACTGTGGCCTTAGCTCTCTTCTGTGGATGGCTGTGTTTTTTTTTTTTTTTTTTCTGCTCCTCTCAACAATTCCAAACATTGTTTTGTTAAAGAACCTCATGGGCTGACTGTGTGGATTTGATTTGGCAGTACCTTGATGAGTCAGAATTTACTTGCCAGATCCAGGAAGGCTATTTGGATTGCCAGAGCGTGTACTTCCTTCCCTGTGGTTCAGAGGTGACAAGGCTATTGGGGTTGTGGAAAATCAGGTACTCTGGTCAACAAAGTTCAGGGCTAGGAAGAAAATATTACCTTGGGAATTTAATTCCTCTGTCAGAGGCTAATTTTTCGTTATGGAGTAGAAAATCAGAACAGCTCCTTTGGTACTTTAAAAGACAAGGGCATGGGTCTGCTGACTCGAAATGAAAAGTCTCAGCCCATTTAGGTGCTATAACAAAATAGCATAAACTGAGTGACTTATAAATAATAGAATTTGATCTCACAGCTTTGGAGTCTGGGTAGTTCAACATCAAGGGACTGGAGGTTCGCTTTCTAGTAATGGCTCACTTCCTCCTTGATAAATACCTTCTCCCTGTTGGCTTGCATGCTGGAAGGGGCTTCTTAGCTCTCTGGGAGCTCATCCCAGTCATATGAACTCCACCCTCATGACCTAAGCATCTCCAAAGGGCCCCTCTCCTAACACCATCACATTGGGTGTTAAGATTTCAATGAATGCATTTTGGGGAGACACATACTCAGTCCATAGCAGAAACCATCTATAAAATGTGAGTATTTCATTAGGGTGACCAGTCAAATCACAAAGAAATCTGCAGTACTCACAAGAAGTGCATGGTGTCAGGAAAAGCAGCAGGTGGGCAGGAAAAAAGCAGCAACAGACTCAGGAAAGCAGTACCTGTGTGGACTCCTGGCATGGCTGTGTGGGGAGGGGAGGCACACAGACCCATTGCGTCCCAGAGCTTTACCTGGAACATCTCTTCGGTCTCACATGGGCTGAAGATGTGATGGTTTTTGTAAAACTTCATTTTTTACCAGTGACTTAAATCTCTTCATATAGTCATAATTATTTTGCTTGTTATGTTTTTGATAGGTGGCTATAGCGTAATGAAAAGTAGTTAAAGGGAGTTTGATTAGTCAGAAGATGGTCATTAAAGGAGGAAAGATTGTCATGTGGGGAGGAAAAAGGAGACAAATTGCGTGGTCTTACATGGGAATAGCTTGCTGTCTTTCCTCTGGGAAGTAAATGGTCTGATTAGAGGCCCCTGCAAAACAGCTTTAGATTTTTATTGAAACAGACTATTTTAAACCTCGCACTCCTGACTCTTCCATGTGAGAACATTGCATATTAAGGCTTTGAACAATAATATATATATATATATATTAAAAAAAACCATTTTGTGACTCATATGTGACTCTGCTCTGAGCTGTACAAAGAATATATCACTTCTTTAGAAGTATGAGCATGAAGTCTTGACAACTATCTTTTACTGGAAGGAAGAAAAAAATCTAACAATCATTATCCTTAGAAAGGTGTAGCAAGCCCTGAATATGGGGAGGATACTTTAGGAAGTGGGAGAAGATGGAAAGCACTGAGTTTGGTAACGGGTACAGCACTTCCCATAAGTAAGAGTGAAGGGGAGAGGCTAGTGAGCTGGAGGAGATCCTATTCTTTCTAGGGTAACTGCAGAGGGTCAGTTCCGTGCCCAGAGACAGGGCACCTTTACTAGATGCTGTCTCCTAACTCTGTGCTTTTAAGTTGGAGTCCAGCTGTTCCTCATCTTTATTGCTAGGGTGTCCCCCAGGCTTCATTCGTCAGGATGTCATTGTGCCTAAGAAACAGCTACTTGTGACCCATGAATCTACATGGTGAAACAAGGGGGAAATTATGAAGGAACATTTGCCCCTAATATTTTATTATGAATTTTTCAAGCATTTAGAAATCTTGAAAGAATTTTAAATCCTATCACTCATTCTTACCATTAATATTTTACTCTAACTTATCACATATCCATCATCAACCAACATACATATCATTAGTAAGAATTCAGAATTTGCTTATAGTTTTTCTTCTTTTGATGTAAAATGTATGACAGTAAAATGCAGAAACCTTATGTTCTTGAATTATGATAGTTACATGTTCCTATGTAATCCACAGTATATCAAGATAGAGAACATTACCGTTACTCCAGAAGTTTCTTTCACAACCTTTCTCTATCAATCCATGCCACCCTGTGAGGCATCACTGTGCAGTTGTTTTTCACTTGTTTGCACTAGAATTTGATGTAAGTGAAATCATGAAATGTGCCTTTCAATTGTGTAAGGATAATTACATGACATAATAGTTTTGACTCATCAGTATTGCGTATGTCTGTGGTTTGACTCTTTTTTTATTACTGAGTAACATTTGTTTGTATGAGTTTGCCACAATTTGTTCACCATTTTCTTGTTAGTACACATCTGGACCATTTCCAATTTGAAACTATTATGCATAAAGCTGATAGGTGTGTTCATGTAAAAGCCTTTGTCAATATATGAAAATATGTTTTCATATCTTTGGGAAATAGCTAGGAGGGGTTTGCTAGGTCATTGGATAACTGTATATTTAGTTTTATAAGAAATAGCTCTGTCTTTTCCAAACTGATTATCCTGTTTTGCATTTTTGCCAATAATACATGAGGACTCCAGTGACTGGCTCCAAAATTTCCCAATATTGGCTATGACTGGCCTTTTAATTTTAACCATTCTGGTGAGTATGTGGTGGTATCCAGTATGGTCTGAATGTTTTCTTCCCCTACCCCCCAAATTCATGTCTTGAAATGCAAATTCATGTGGGCTATTGTTAATTTTACTATGCATAATTTATAAATTAAACTTTATCATAGGCATGTGTAGGAAAAAAACAACATAGTGTCTGTAGGATTTAGTACTATCCCTGGCTTTAGGCATCTACCAGCTATCTTGGGTTGTATCTCCTCTGGAGAAAGGAATACTTCAGTGTTAAAGGTGGCTAGAATTATAGAAATAGGGAATACTGGCCAGAAAAAAAAACTGTTTTGAATAGGCAATATATTTAAATTTTATTGAGCCCAGGTTAAGAGGAAGAAGTCCAGATTCACTTATAAATGTCAGAATCAGCTAATAGTAAAGAGAAATATATGAGGGGGAAATTTTAGATAAGACTAAATGAGAATGATAAACACATTATGTTCATGCTATAGAATTCCACACATAACTGGATAAGAAAAAAATACAAGATAAGAGTTATTATAATGTTACTCATCTATATTTTTTATTTGAATGCTCTTTCTATTAAATCTTTGGAGAAGTCTTATTTTGCAGTTATAATTATATCAACAAGTTGTAAGGTACGTATTGAAGAATATACTCTAGTCATCGGGTAAAGCAAATATAGTCTTGTTAATAATTTTTGTGCCCAAATTATTGTGTCTTCAGTTTAGTAGCATTTAGAGAACATTAATAACTGAAGGGGATTTCAATTTTGTGTTTTTACTTTGATTTCTCTGGGTTTTAATAATTAGGGTAATCTACTCTATCATTCTGACCACTGTAAGCTGATGTTTTTTGAAATAAAATATTACATTACTTTAACTTATTTTTAATATAATAATAAGGATCACTTTTAAAATTCTCTTCCTGAAAGATTTGTAATCTCCTCCAAATTTTCATGTTTTAGTTTTACCATTTTTGATTAAGAAAATATATTAACTACATTAAAAAAATAAAATGTTTCTATGTTTCTATTTTAGGTCCCACATTAGAGATCACCAGGCAAGATTTTTTTCAAGAAGCACAAGCTCTCATCGCCCAACATAATGAGAAAATAAATGAGGTTGATGCTTTGCATTATCTAACATTATATTTTTCTGGAAACTAATAACTATTTTGTATGCTTCAAATGACTGCATGAACCCCGATAGATTCTAAATAGAAGAGAAAAAGAAATCCTTGCTAGTTATAAAAATTAATTTCAGATACATTTTAAATATAATTTTTAGCTATCCATATTATTTAATTATACATATATGTCTATTTTGCACATTCCATCCCATTTTTAATGTTTTATTTTGAAGAGTTACAACAGAAATATTTGAATCAAACAACTCAAGTAAATATCCTTTGTTATTATTGGGTGATGCTGAACTAGAAAATGTGCCATGAGATCCATCTTTCCTGGGTCCCCAGTGTGAGATGCTTACCTGTATCCTCTTCCACGTTACTTTACATTAGAACCTTTCCCCAGTCTGATGGTCCTTGAGGGCAGTGGCTTGTTGTTGGAAGCTGCATCTCCAGCAGCAAGTAATGTGCCTGGTTCATATACATTTGCTGAGTGACTAGATTTGGAAGGTGAGGAGGAGTAAAAGGAAAGGGATGGCCAAAGACAGAAAAATCAGCACTAGGTTAAATTTTCAGGGAAAATTTTGGCCAGTTATTTCTGGTTCAACAGAGAAAGAGGTTTGGGGTTTTCCCTTTTATGGACATTTGAAAATTCTTCAAAAATGGTTGAAAATAATTAAGGTTTTTTTTTTTTTTTTTTGCGTATATTTGGAAAATCCTATTTTAAAATGGACTCCAAAGCTACATTTGAAAATCACATTTGAGGAGAAAATTACTATTTTAAAGTTCACATTTTTTAAAGTGGAATATAACTCATGTTTGTGAAGTGCTTTTGGAAAATGTCATAGGAGAACGTCATAGGCTAACAGAACTTCATAGGCTATAATTATTGCCTTATGCAGTAGGGTATTTTGTAAAATATATTTGGTGGATATAATTTTATTATACAATTAATATTAAATTAAAAAAATTCATTTTTCTTTTATTTATAGGGTAAAATTCAAGGTCCTTCCATAAATGTTTTTAGAAATAAACACCAAAAACCAAAATCTGGCAAATTCTTACCTTTGGAGATTAAAAAAAAGGAAATGCTTGATGTCATCCAAGAATTTCAGACAGCACACAAAAATTTATGTTTTCTCAAAGAGTCCAAAGAGCTTTCCAAAAAGGAACGTATTGAGGAATCTTCACGAAAAATTTCTTTCAAGGAGCCAAGCATTTTTAATGTAAAAGAAAAAGGCAAAGAATCTATAGATCAAATTCTGAAAGGTAAGTTTTTGGTGAAACAAAGAAGTTTATCAAACCAACAGTTGAAACTGCTTCTGTTGGGCTTGTAGTGGAATGTCCCTGCTCTGGCAAACCCTCAAACTTCACATTTTAGCAATGAAAGGTGCAGAGGTATGAGTAAAACAGGTAGTTACCTCTGGAGGTTGCTGGAAATAGAATAGAAACCATGTTAATGGGAAAAAGGAATTTAGAGGAACAAATTTGTTTTAGCTACACAATAGCCCTTCTAGTACAAATCATCAGAACCTGTTTATTTCACTATTATTAAAGCAGTCATTGGTTTGCAACTCTAAATTCTGTTATTAGTACTTGCTGGAGGATTGGCTATGAATGTGGGGTCAAGGAAGGATTTTTAAATTTTAGACATGATTAATTGGAAGAATAAAAATTGTCACTCTCTTAGGTGGGGAAGAGGGAGAAATACAGTTTTGAATGGGCAGAAATCTAGGGATGAAATTTGGACACATTGCATTTGCAGAATCTATTACACATACAAATATGGGAATGGCAAATAGGTAGTCTATAGGTGTGGACTCATAGGAAAGATTGGCATCATTAATGTATATATCAGCATTATCCATAGAAATATGCCTGAGTCTCAAATGTTATAATTGAATATTTTCTAGTGGTCACATTAAAAAGTTAACAGAAATAGGTGAAATTATTTACAAAAAATAGTAAAAATATTAATTTTAATAGATTCCAAAATGTATCCAAAATGTTATTTTAGTAGTTAGTCAATATAAGAATTATTAGTGGGATTGTTTAGTTTTTCCCCAAAATCCAGTTTGTATTTTAGAAATTGGACTACCCACATTTCAAGTTCTCAAAAGCTGTACTTAGAATATGATACCAGATTGAGCAGCACAGGCATAATGGATTTTATTTACAATCATAGATACCAACTTCAAAAACCTACTGAAACAGCTATAATATCAAATATCTTTAGTAAGTATATTTTGTGCTTGCATGTAATACCTACTCATATTTTTCTTAATCGAGCAAAAATCAGAAAAAAACATGAGCTGATTTCTTTGAGTATATAGATTTACTACAGTATAGCTTAATCAGTTTTTAGTGTCATGCTGCCAACAATTTATCAATCTAATTGGAAATCATGTGTAAAATCAGTTTTTAGAATGTATATTAAATATCAGTATAGTCATCGTATAACGTATAGCATTTAAGGAGCTAACTCTCAAGAGGAGTGGATAATTTTCTTATTACCAATTTAGAGGGGTGTTCAGTACTCTTTTTGTAGTTCCACAAACATCTATCAGTTTGGTTTGCCTGTGTGCTGATCAGTATTTTCTGTTAGAAAGTAAGCCTTTAGAGGGCAGTATCTTATTTGCATGTGTATCCCTAATGCCTAATAGCATAACAAAGGACTCAGATCCAGAAAGATAGTCTATCAGTGCTTATTGACTAATAGAATAAAAGAGGTGTCATTGTTAGTGTGTGTGTAAATTTCTAACCAACTTTAGGTAAGCCTGGTCACTTTTCAAACTATCCTATGTACCATTGCATTATAAATTATAATTCTGTTATAAGGTGCTGATCCCTTTGCTACAACTTAAGAATACTGTGTGTTTTTGTGTGTCTGTGTGTGCGCGTATGTGTATGAAGTGTGGAATTACTGCACAGAATAAAGAGGTTGATCCTAATCACTGTCCGGTGTAAAACAGCTGTTGCCTGAGCTCTGCAGTGCCCAAGGTTGTTATTTATTTCTCTGGCCTGCATGGTTGCTTCCAAAATGATTCTGTCACAGCATGTGTGTTCTGGCATTCCCTCTTAACGCTGGGAAACTTGGAGCCAAGGATCTATTAGTGCCCAAAGTGTGGAATGTGTGACATTGATCATCCCCTCTCCGAGCTGGCACTGCTCTGAAGCAGCCTGGGAACCAGGGAACAAGCCTGCTGCCAAATCCATCTGGTTTTGATCCCATTTCACTTAATGAATCAAAACATTATTTTAGAGGCACTTAAAAAATACTATTCCAAAAGTCCAATGAATTCTCTGACTAAGGATGAATCAAAAAAGTATGTACTTACCATAGAGCCATCCATGAAGACATGTAACATGTTTTCATCAGGTATTATCACTTGTCTAATATCATCACACAAGCACTTCTCATATGATTGTGTAGATGGCTGTTTTTACTTATGTTCTCAGCTTCCAACTATAGGAAACCACTAAACAGGACGTTTAAGTAGTAGTCAGAAAAAGTCTGGGATATGTACTTGTAATACTTATTTATAAAGTGACTTGTCTATTCCTCATGGAAATTTGAAAGTCTCTCTCTCTCTCTCTCTCTCTATATATATATATATATATACACACATATATATATACATCTATATATGTATGAAGAGAGCTAGTATCATGGAGAATTTTAAAGGTTAGAATAGAATATTAACTTTGGAATGCGCTTTGGCAGTTGCTTCTTTTTTTTTTTTTTTTATTATGAAATTGGTGACTGTTCCTGCATCAACCCAAAGAATCCTTTCTAACAATCCCACGGTCAGTCAACAGGGTGGTAGGAGCAGCACTAATATGGGGAAGGATCAACTGTTTCTGTGAAAGAGGTGAAGGTGTGATTACTTGGGCCAACAATAATGAATTGCCCCAAATAGTCATGAAGTGTTCTTGGTGTTCCTGGATAGTTTCTTAGATAAAATTATGTGAGTCATTGGAACGTAGCAATAATACTGTGTTACAAATTCTGGGGCTCAGTGCTAGAATTACCAGGTCTTGGGCTTATACTGCCCAAGTTATTTCTTTGATTGGCTTTTAAATGAAACCTTCTTTTAATTCATTCATATTACTTTTCCTTTGTTTAGAGAAGAAACATCCCAATAGCTAGAACTCCAATGTATTCAGTTATGTTGTTTGCAGCTGATTTTGTTTATTTATAGGCATAATTACATTTGGAAAACGTTTTATGGCACTGGCAATAAAATCAAATGAGTGTGTGACTTTTCTAATCATTTCTTTTCTACAAAAATTATTATCATGCAGGTCTACCTATTTGGCTCACTATTTCCTTTGAAGTGTTGATTTTCACTGTAACTGGAGGCTGTATTCCTTTTGTGGTTGGCTACCGCATTCTATTTTTTTGACCATGAACTGAATTTCCTATCTTCTTAGATTTGTCCCGGTATTGATAGTCCTGATTATAAATGTTCTTCCATACGGAAATATTTACACTGCTTAATAAAGGAGCAGCTTCTGTGGCTGGGGAGTGTATAACAAGAAGACCTCACATTTGTGCATCCATGTTGTGAACATAGTCTAGTGTGGTGGTCTGTATGGCCAGTAGTTACATGAGCCATACTTAACTACACTCTCTGCACCTGTTTGGGAAATAATCTGAGATTTAGAGACTAAAATAAATTTAGAGACTAAAATAAATAAGTAAAATAAAATTCTTGATACATGATTCTGGCCAAATGATTAGACAGAATGGATCTTTAGCTTCCTATTTTGTTAAGTGGTGATGATAAAAATGACTGCTGACTATATTTCTGCAAGGACCAAACGAGCTTTCTTTGTGAAAATGTAATGTGCGGGCCTCCCCTGGTGGTGCAGCGGTTGAGCGCTGGGCTGCAAAGCTGCCCACAGCCTCTGCAGTGCAGGTTCCATCCCCGACCACCAGTAAGGGTCCCACATGGTGCGCAGACATCTCCTGCTGTGCCCACTGCTCCCCTCAGCAGTGTATTTCGTAGGTCTGCCTGTTCTGTTCCCCGCTCTGGTGAATACTCTCACCCTCCCGCGCTTCTGACTGTACCCAGTGCTTGTATAAATAAATAAATAAATCTTAAAAAAAAAAGGAAATGTAATGTGAACTACAAAATACTAGGCGCATTGCTAATGGCTCATTGAAAGACTTAGGGAAAATACAAGCTGATGTAGAAAAACTGATGGTTGTCTATCAATGTAAAGCAGATACAGAATTATTTTGCAAGAAGAAAATTTTCCTGGAAATATGAATGGGTTGAATGTGTTTTCTCCCTTCCTTTACTTCTCAGTCAACAGATCATGTTAGGCTTAGTAGGGAATATAAAGCTTAGTATGATACAGTTACTTGGTGTGTATCAGAAAACTAATGTTCTGGTTTTATGAAATGTGCTCAAGTAGCATTGGTGTCCAAGTGTATCATCTGGTTTTATAATTTCATGTATCATATGATTTTAAAGAGTTAATAAAACCTTAACTACTTCATAAACTGCTAGGGAACAACTGTGACAAATGTTGTTGGCATGAACTATACTGAGAGATAGGGTTTTCAGCAGAAGTGTCTTAATTAGGAGTGGAGCCAGCTTCCATCCTCTATTTCACCTTGCTTTCTGCTTCTCTTACAAATTGTGAAAGTGGTCAGCTTTACAGCTCGGAGCTTTGTGATTGGCTGCAAATGACTCAGATTCCTGTTTTGTCTGGTCGTTAATACCATTGGCAAGTCGATGTAGATAAACAACAAAGAGAGTGCCAGACCCATTTGAGGACAAACACCATATCATAGTCTGGCGAACATCCTTTGTCTTTTCATGCACACTTAGCTTTAGGCATGGGAAAAATAGGACTCCTAAGTCAAAGCAGGAAAGTATGTCAAGGTGTTTGAGATATTTTACCTAAAACAAATAATGGTATGAAATGTGAGGAAAGCTACAAGCTGGTGAGAAAACAAAGAAAGAAATAATCTTTACAAATCGCTGTTTACTTCACTTGAAAATGATCCTAATCAGGAATTTGCATCTCTTTAAAGCTTTTCTGTTAGTGATAATATCCCTATCTCTATTTCTCAAAAGGCAATTATCACATAAAATGGCTTATAATAGAGGTGTTATTGCTTTACTGGCATTCAGCATGTAAGATTTTTATTGGTATACTTGTCTTATTTTTTTTCTTACACACCTGCAATTATATTTACATTCTGACAAAATATAGTAGAGGTGGCACTTAAATCTCCAAACTTCTGTCTACAA